TTTTGACGAAACTTTAAAGTTATCGTTACGTTCGTTTAGTAACGCAGCGTACGTCAGAACATAGGCTTTGATAAATAATTGCACTATAAACTGCGCAAGCACAAGTAGATGTCTACAAGCATCTGGCAAGAGCTTAAGAGTACAGAATGGCGAATTCGAACAAAAAAGGGCAAACGTGCACTGACCTCGCTTGCAGCGCTGTCCGTTAAATGTTAAACCTCACACATTCACTTCAGTCAATTCAGTGGCGACCGACGCCCAACGATCACGGCACACGACTGCGCTCGCCCACCTGAGATAACGCAATCTAGATAAGTGCAAGGTAAAAGTAAGCACAGTGTATGAGCGAATAGTGCGAAACAATATTGGCGTAGTACTTCGTTGAGAATTAAGGTCAGGATGGCACTTACTGTTTTTGCGAGGAGAATTGGAGTTGAAATTTTTTTATCTTAGTCGAATACAATCCTTGATTGTACTGTTCTCTGTGTACTTACGAAAAGCGCATACCGCCGATCGATTTGAAATTTGGTATACTTATGTATTTTGACCTCCTAATCACGGACTTTTCGGAAATTTATCCCTGTTCTCTTATATAGATCCTTTTTCAAATGTAGAATTTAAAATGGCGGAACCAACATGAAGATAAGTGTCGCTCTGCTCAAATAAATTATATTTTTTAATTCAATCAAGAATCGTATATGGGTAATCACACAAATTTTTTATAAGTGGTCAATAAAAAATACAAACACACACATTACATTTTGTACATAATTATGTAGTTATATTTAAATATAGTTGTAATTTGTAAACATTTTATGAAAATAATTTCTATTATAAATAAGTATAAGGTATTTAAAAAAGTTATATCTACATTTCATTAATATAAATAACGACAATTTACATAACCAAGCCTAGTCTATAAATGAAAAAAAATTAAATATATTGTATTACTTATTATAACTTGTAAATATATATACTATTATAATTAAACACACTAAAAATAAACACACTACGATAAGTCGGTACTATATACTAAGTAGATAAGAATATTTCCACGTAATTCAATGGAAATATTTCGGAAAATATTTCTTACTACGACCACGAAATGCCAAGTTTTTCAATTTACACTCTCGTACAAAGTTAAAGAGTTCGTTGACCTGTTTACTATATTTTTACAACCGTGAACGATTTGATGGGAACTGATTTAGTTATTGCTTTGATTAATTGTAAACACTTCAACAACAAATGTAGAAGGTAGAAGTGTGAAATGTCAAAGAAATTATGTTTTGACGGGCTCTTTTGTCTAATGGTAGCGATGTATGGCTATCAACGGGTCGTGGGTTGGCTACCCAACGGGTCCAACATGTTTACAATTTAAAATTGGCAGGAAGAAACTCAAACTCCGTCCGGATCACGAACCACGAAGGTTATCAAGGTGTAATATGGCTAGGGTATTCACCTTCCTAGAAAACCCTATGCTTCTCTGCCCACCTCTATTATTGTTTAATTTCGTCCGATTATGTTTACATGCAGTAGATAGTTGACTGTGCTTCACGGCGATTCGAATCTAGCACAGTATTTCATCTCAGCCATTTGACTAACTACTACTAAACTAAGTAGAAAGTTTTCGGGCGTTAAATATTCTTACGGTTGACTAAGAAACTTTATTCGTTAGGCAATACTTTTTTGTTACAATGATCTAATTGCGCAATAAAAAAAGTGACATATCAATGTCCCCACGTCCCTCAAGACTTTGTTAATTAGTTTATTTCGTTAGTAGATTGACTTTCACCTAGTTACAAACAATTATTAACATTGGTTTTCATGTATATACATAATATAAAGTTATTACTATCTATATAAGAATCTTTCAGGTCGGTCTGTCTGTCGCCAGGCGTGACTTCAAAGGGTTCTTGACATTTGTCAACAATGCGTGACGCAAAGCCATGATGTATCTTATCTGTGGTCATATAAGTTGTTTGTTTCACGAGATTTTATTCCTCATGTAAGGTTTTTTGCCACCGCACAGTCTCAATTAGCTTCGTTAACTGGTAATCTTATTTTAATGATTACAGTTTTATAAAAATGACTGATTATTTTTTGTCTATCTTGATGTGTACAGAAGGTATAAAAAGAAAAGTTTTAAATAAAACACTTTAACGGTTTAAAACGCGATAAATATTAGTTCAACTTATTAAGTGAAAAACCAAATTAGTTTTTAACTTCGGCCCGACGTTTCGGATGTTTTGCAGCAGCCGTGGTCACGGGGAGACACGTAAAGTGTTTTTTTTAATACGTACCACTCGCGTTGACTACAGACAGTATTTTTGCATGTCAAAGTGAAAAGAGCAACAGCACGGAACGCTGTGATTGCTGGTTTAATTCCTGCCCGTGTCGTAAAACTTTTTCAACCTAAAATCGTTTTTTTTTAACATAATGAAATTGCTAAATTGATACCACGCTGATGATGGGATAAAAAGAAGATTATTTTGGATTCGGAGATTTATTTATATAATATGGTGGTTCCATTTAGGTTAGGAAAAACCACGTAGGCAATTAAACCTCCTACATTGGACCGCACACGAACTAAACGCGGGATTCCCTCTCAAATAATTTTACAGGAAAACAGTCATTTGAATCTTAAAAATTGGTATTAAACAAAACTTTTCCCTTATCCTATTTATTTTTTAAGTTAGTTGAGTTGAAAACATAAATGAATAATAATGTTAATATTAATCAACTGAATTATAAGTAGTAGACGAAAAAGGAATTAAATGGTGAAACATCGTGTAATTTTAACCATTATTTAAATGTTAATTCGTTTAACGATTTAAAAAGTAAATCATATATTTCGCGATTAAAACTATTAAAAAGTATTTAATTTCAGTGTGTACTACGTTAAGTACAAGCAATACTTAGTATCTAATACTAGTTGTATTATTGATTAGTAAAAAAAAATTGTAATTAAAGATTATACTTATGTGAGATGGCTGTGACAATGCCCCCTTTTGTCTTCACTAATTTATTTCATGTAATATCTATTACTGTCGCTTAATCTGTCTCTTTTTGTAATAATGATATTTGTATCTGAAACCCTAACAAATGAATAGAATTTTGTTAACAGAGCCTCTGCCTAAAACTAATTCTTTAAAAACATCAATTCGTTAATGTTCAACGAGCACAGAATAGTCTTGGAGGTACCTGTAATTACTTATTTACTTTTATCTACTTCTAAAGCCTTCAGTGATAACAACCTCAAAAACATTAATTGCAATCACGGTTATGTAAAATTCCGTTATTTGCTCTCATCCATTAAACGTAAGTACTTTATCTACAGTCAACACTAAGTACTAAGCACGACCGACTTGTCTCGGAATATTACTCGTATTTATTTTCTGCAACCAAGTACACCTACACCAGACAAGCAGTTCTCTTGTTGGTTCTCTCCATCATTTAAAAGAGATGCGCTGAGAACCTATTTCCGATAATTCTAAATCCACAGACTGAAAGCGAAACGTCAATCTGTAGACCGTAATTTGTGACAGAGTTCGATATTATAATTTGAAACATTTAAAAACTGGTGGGAATCGAACCCACGACTCGTCGTTCATTAGCTCTGCACTATTCGATGACATTGGACTAATGAGAATGCTGGTTAAGAGTATGTATATTTTTGTTTCTCAGTCCGTCAAACGAATCCAGAAAACCAATCATTAAGTTTTTAGGTAAAACATAAGATTCCAGAATAATAAAATATAAAAGAAACAATAATTTCACTACAAATAGCGTGGAGTAATTTATTATAAGGAATTTCCCTTTAGTCTTTAATCTATAGTTACAATTCTGCAAAATTTATGAAACATTTTAATCCATCTGTTAGAAGTAATGCTATATTCGTATATATTTTCTATTTTACACACTACTAGACAAGTAGGTAAAAAAAATATAACTTTGTCATAGTACTATTGAATAGGTACACAAACCAAGATAGGACACCTGTATATACGTAGTGGGAGATATAATAAAATAAAAGGTAATTAGTAAAATTTTATTTGCTATCTAATCTTATTATGTAGCCTATGCTCATATCCCAGTAAATCGCACACGGGCAGGCTTCCAAGACCACAGCAAAGTCAAACGAGTGCCACACAAATGGTGAATATACTTAGCAGCTAGCCCACAGAGATATCATCTAAGGGGTTCCACTGCTTTTTCAGCGGGGTCCAACAGACCCCTAACCATCACCCACTCCGGGGCATTATAGACACCATAAAACCAGCCACTGGTGGTCGCCAAGGCCCTTTTTGTGCTTTCACCCATTTCCCCACAAACTTCGTAAATTCTTTTTTTTTTCAATGAAATTGATGTTTCAGCAGTTAAAAAATTAACAGTTTAGAAGTATTGTGCTGTACTATAGCAGATGCTATTATTATCTATTATAATATGTTTACAATATGAAAGATAGAGATTGAAATGAAATCAAAGAAAAACATATTCCCTTAAAAACTATTTACAACCGTCTTGAAACGTTAGAATCGTACATACATAGTTATCTTTTATAAAAGACACATAATCAACTTATGACATAAATTAAGAACTACTGTTGAAATTGGAAGTACTAAAATATGCTCCTTCGACAGCTTACAACACAATACATTAGATAAGTTTGCGTTTAAATCCGTCAAAGTTGCTTCATATGTGTTCTCGGGTAACTATGAAACGTAAGAAGTATTAATATTAATTTCTACAGTAGTTCTTAACTAGTGCTACAATATTTTCATTAATTTTCACAACAGTTCAGTCTGAACATACATTTAAGATTATGCAGAAACAAAAAATGTTTTAGTTTAGTTTTTTTTTTTACGTTCATAGGCGTACTTTCAAATATATCTTAATATCGACATCAATTATAAAATTAAGTTGTGATTTTTTTTACAACTTTCTTTTTTTTTTACTTTTTTTTACACAATATTTACACGACAGTCTATATATGATGTAGATCACTTCACGAACGCTTCCGGCGGTATCTTCCCTTCTGATTGTAGTTGGTTGAAAATGAATAACGCTCGTTGGTAGTCCCAGCCCGTTTCTTGTAAGCAGCTGCAATTAAAACCACAAATATAACTTTGTAGGCTATTTACAGGCAAGAAAAGCAAAAAAAAATAAAAAATAACTCACTTTATACTCCAGTGTTCGTTCATGCCCGTCTGCTGGCTAAGCATATTTAGCATCATATTCTTCTGTGCATCCTCTTGAGATGTTCCAGCGACGGGCGCGAGCGGTGACGTCAGAACGGGTACGGGCGCGGGCGCAGGCGCGGGTGCGGCCGCAATCGGTACTGTCGATGCGAACGCTTTCTCCTCCTATTTTAAACCAATAAATTACTACATATTTTGTTTTGATAGTTATTTTGGGCAACAAAATGTGTTTGTGTCCTCCTCATATTTATACATTGTAGCTGTTACCCACGACGTCGTCCGCGTCTCGTCGTTCTTGGAAGCGTATCTTAAAATATAGACAAATGCTGTCAGTCATTTTTTTAGATAATGTAAAGAGAAATCATTCTTTCATACATAGTTTTAGGATATCTTGAACCTTTGTCGCAGAACACGCAGTGGGATCCCATTAACAGGAATAATTTTACTTGTTTTTTCCACATTTCCCACAGTTTTCTCGCTTTTATTGGTTGCAGCGTGAATTTATCTCTATATAGATGTATTACAGATTTTCTCGATAAATGTTTCAACCATCACAAAAAGAAGTATACAAGAACTACTCTTTAGAATAGCGCGTACAAACAAACTCTACAGTTTTATAATATTAGTTTAGAATCATTATAGGTTTGAACTGACCTGGTCTTTAGTAACATTTGTTACGAATAATATATCGTTGAGTATGCAGAATCCTCCACTGCTGTTTGGGACTATAACGAAGGTCCGGTGGAATGATCGCAGCGGTGTCCCCGCTGTCATTATTTCTTTGTAAACACCGTTCATTGTAAGGACTAGCATTGTAGGCTGAAAGATACACGTATGAAAACCTTTAATATTTTTCACATGATGGCACAAGTTAAAAATCGATTCGATCTTAAACGACTCGGTAGTTGAATTGGTTAGACTTTAGAGCAACAGCACGGATCGCTATGGATGCTGGATTCAAGTACTGCCGGTGTCGTGATTTTTTCAATTTATACTCAATTTTTAATAGATATATGTATATTATTGTCATACATAGATAAACAACAACAAAGTTGAGGCTTAGCATAGGATCCATTTTCAAAGGATTTCTCAGACACTATTAAAACTTTTTCATGTAATCTAAAAATTATTCAATTAATTTTTATTTATCTTTGTAGTACAGAAAAACAATTTTGTTATAGCTTGTGTAATAAGCTATCAAAAGCTTAAAATGTTGATGTAGCTAAACAAAAGCTGTATATACTTACCCTAAATATAACTAAATCCACAGCGAATCCCATCAGATCATGGGAGGTCTTAGGGAGATCTGACAGAAGTGAAACAACTTGCAACTTGCCAGTTTTTAAATGTCTTCTTCTAGGCTCTCTCTCTGTTATTCTTAGTAAGTTACGACTGTACATCATGTATGTGTTTAGTCTGAAAATCAAAATCATAGTATCATCAGGATAGTGCAGTAGTAATATTATTTTATTTTTATTATTTTTGACATATGTAAATCATTGCTTTTATAAAGGCTTTCTGTATTTGTTTCAAGGAGGAGGGAGAGAGAGGTTTTCAATGTTAGTGTAATGTATCTTCGACCTTAATTAAATTACTTGAATATTATTAGTAAACAAGTAACTTGAATTATTGAATATTTCTTAATTAACATTTTCGGCGCCCAAATGACCAAACAAGGTAAACAATCAATATTTTGGTTTAAAGGGAGGAAAACACGTAAAATGACTAGCGACTTTTTACTTTACTTACTTGCTCGTAGAACCAGTATTCCTGGGATCCGTGCTCAAATAGTTAGTTGTTAGTGTGAAGGTAGCTGTCTCGTGGTATGCTTCTAGAAGTGCTTGACGCGACTCCGAGTCGTATATAGCGTAATATTGCTTAAGGAACTCTTTTACCAGTTCCTGCCCACTCGGGTCTACCAGGAAGGACTGTTGTACTGGTGGTAGTGTAGATTCGTCGGGTATGTCGAAACTTATAGGCGGAGGTAGATCTTCGTCATCCTGTTGTGATTGAAAATAAAAATAATACATAATTTTTATTAGTTTAACAGCTGAAACATCTGATGACGTCATCGACTCGTGATGGCGAAGTGTCAAAAACGATCTTTTAAGTTATTTCGAATCTAAAACAGTTCATAGCAATATCCGTGGCGACCAAGGAATTGTGGCTTGCCATCAGTAATATTGACGGGTTCGTTGGTGTAATGGTAGCAAAGTACGGCTAACAATAAACGGGTTGCGGGTTTGATCCCCATTGGGTCCAATATTTTTCTAATCAATTTATAATTTTTCTGAAACATGTTGAACTTTGTCTGGAAATATGGATATAAATGGGCGGCAGTAATATCGAAATTAAGTCTGGGTCACGCACCGCCGTCCACAGATGAAAATGTAGTGTAATTTAAATTTCTGTTTCAGTCTGTGGATTTCAGAATATCCAAAGCCAAAACAGGTTGACAGCGCATCTTGTCTAGATGCTATAGTCTGGGCTATTTACTTTCACACTTATCTGTCCCCCTCTATCATAAAAAAAATGCAATATACATTAAAATCCTTCAAACATAAATATTTTTGATAGAGAGAAAAGTTATGTATAGCACTGTTATCCAGTTAACTTACCAATCGCATGAGCTTCGGAAATTTACGCCGGATCTCACTGAAGAGAACAAACATTATGGCAACACTTGTAAATCACCTCTGAAACTCTCACAAAAATTACAGTTTATAAGACAACAGTTGCATCGAACAATGCATTTTTACCCAGCATCTGTACTTCTTATGCAAAACTTATTGAAATGTAATACATGATTTTGTTTCTTTATTTCCTGACTTTCCTTTAAATAGGATAACAAAAACATGTAAGAATATTTCAATAATGCTATTAGGGTATAAAAAAGTGCATTGTTTTCAGATAGAAACTCGGATATAAAATGATGTACAAAAGCAAACACAGCATGGCTTTAGGCTTTTTAATACAAAATCTGCAGTAGACTGTTTGCTTTTATACACAGATTAATTCTACTGTCAACTTCAAATCCACCAAAAGTTTCAAAAATTAGTCATGGTACATTCATGGAAATCTAAGTATTATTTTAAATTAAACAAGGTTTTAACAATTCTAACTAATAAAGATTTTTAACAATTTTAATAGAAACATAATACAGGACTAGGTTTCTTTGGTTACAACAATTTACAATAATAAATTTGTTGTAGTTAATAATAATTAAATAGTTACATAAAAAACCTTGTTTATTCCTTTTGAAGAACTATTGATGGACCCCAAAGCAAAAATTCTAGTAACAGTTATAATTCAGATAAAGATAACAAGCAAGCAAGCAGATAAGTCAATTAGACTATCTGCTTCCTCACATCAAAGCACACTCTTGTGCAGTGAAATGTCTGTCTTACAAAGCAGTAAGATCTGTTCCAGTTTTTTACCTTCAGCTGCTTCACTGTTACAATATTACCTTTTGTAGGCTTCATTATCATTGAACCTGTTCACAAGAGGATTGCCTTTGAGGTACAGTTCAACCAGAGGTAAAGCCTTCAACGCTTCCAACGCTGCTATAGATGTTATCTAAAATCAAATTATACTTACTAAGAATAGTTACAGGTGGATACGGTGAGTTTAAGATTTCCATATACATACCCTATTGTCACCCATGTAGAGAATCTTCAGATTTTTAAATTTGACTGCCAAAATCTTGAGATGTTCAAGCCCATGTATTTTATTGTCGTTTAAGTTCAACGCTTCTAAGTCTGGGATGTTCTCGGCAATAATATCAATAGCAGCCAACATGATTACAGGACGGAACAGGGCACAAAATATATCAGCCAGTTCTACAAAATATTAATCCTTTGTAAGTGTACCTTTAAACTTATTAGAGTATTATTACTATAGCTAATCTTTAAATTTGTTTTTAATCACCTAAAAGTCAGTCCAAAGAATAATTTTAACCACAATTTGTTTGCTACATTGATATAAATAATGAATCATTCCTAATATATCGTTTAAAAAAATTACTCCAACTAACATCTAAAATACTTCAGTCTTATTAATCTAAATATGTTTTGCTCATAAGCAATAAAGTACTTACCAGGATCGACATGAAATTTAGTCAAATTCAACGCTTTTGTAGCAGCATTATACCGTTTAGCCATAGCCAATTTCATTTTTTCTTTCATATCATCAGTTATATTAATTCTAGGTACCGCATTACGGACTACAAGAATCATTTTGAATCCATTGGGCAACATTATCTTTCTATCAGCATTGAATATTTTTTCAGCCATCTTCACATCATCCACATAGAATATAGCTGCATTTCCCTCCATTTTGAAGTAGTGAGCTACAAATACATCTGGCGAGAGAAAACTTGAAAGCGCATTGAGTAAGGTCTCTTTTTCACACTTAGCTCCATAGGGTATAGTAATTTGATACCAGGGTAAGACCCCTGTGATAAATTTTCTTCTATGGGCGGGGCGGGGTGGTGGAGAACCCAGTCGGCCTCCTCTGCCTCGGAATGCTCCTCTTCTATTTTGTATCTGCCCAGATGCACCCATATCAACATCATCATCAAACAATAACTTAGCATCATTCCAATTCCTGAATTTATTTTTTCCTTTATTCTGACTCTGCTTGAACATAACCCTTCTTCCAGTATTGTGCATACGGTCATCATGTTCTGCAATAATTTTAAAACTTGCTCACTATGTTGTTATTATTATGCTGGTATCACTCAAAACAAGTTTATATTGTGCCAAAGTTTAATTCAAATAAACATTATATAAAATGAAATAAGTTTAAAAATGTTTGCCATATAAATCAATGATTTTAATTACTCTTTAACAATTATCTACTATTGTAAAACATTATTTCTAATATATTATACACTATTAAAAAACCAAATAAGGTTATCAAGTTGTTTCTGTTACACATAACATCTAACGTTATGACACAAATATCTTTGTATAAAAGATAGTAATTTTTTATTAAATCGTAAATAACTTACCAAAATGTTCACCACCCTTCCAGTTATTGCGTGGACGTCCACCACCACGTTTTGGCATCGTGAATCTTGTAAAAGGGACACAATGTGGTAATATATAGGTGGCACTACAACAACATATACTTTGCAGAAGTATGACGTAATTAATACGCAGTTATATTTTCTGTTGCTGGTCTTTGTGAGATGCCCTGCTAAAATTATGACTTGGTCCAGAGCAGTAATTAGAGAAAAATTGAATTACAATAAAATCAACACAAGTTTATCATAATAAAAATGGCGAACGAATAGAGCAAAAGGGTTGCCAAGTAAATTATTCAAATAGGCTTTGTTGGTTATTAAAATATGAGCAAAAAAAAACAAGTCGTTGGCGAAGAACTTAAAGTGAATATAAATTATTATTTTTATTTGTAATTATTTATTTATGTACAAGATATAAGATAAAGCTCTCTCCTTCCGTATAATATGTTTCCTATTCAGCAATACAGAAATATAACTTAAGAAAAATTAAGATTTAGAGTTGTAAATTTTACATTTAGTTTAACAGTTTATTGATAATAAAAAATATTATGTTAGTAATAATAGATCTGGATACTGGTAACATTTATTACGTTTTTAGTTTTTAATGTCGATGCGTCATGTTAAGCATCACATTCCACAGAGTAAACATAGCGTTTTAAGACGCAACAGAGTAAATTATATTTGATGCGGTGTCTATAACAATGATATTCTAATGCAAAAAGTAGAAGCAAAGCCAATCTTTTACCCTTTCAAAATCAAAGTACTCGTCATATATTAATAACCACGTAAATCACTTTGTGCAAAACCATACACCGAACAGCAATTCTTACTAATTATTTTTCAATATTTATTTTAATTAAGTATCTTCTTATAAATTAAATCTAGATAGTATCACAATTCATAAAAAAATAAAGATAAGTATTATATTATTTTATGTAAATTTATTAAACTAAACCATCAAAAAAATAATTATGAAACCCACAAAGTATTACCTTTATTTAAATATACGTCTTATGTATAATGATAATTGTCGTGAACAGTAAAAATCACCATGTGGGAAATTAATTAAAGTTCTCTTACTTAAGTTAAAAGACTCTTAATTACATATTCGGTTGCAACTCTAACATTACAATCTACAATTTTACTTTACATTTAAAATAAAGCGTAGGCATAAGAATGGTAACGTATTACAAAGTGTGTAAAAGTGCTATAATAGAACTCGAAGAGTTTTTTAACAAACTCGTCTTATCAACACAAAACGTTTATCGTTAAGTTAGAAGATAATTAACAATCAAAATTTGATTTCCGATATAAAAATATATATCATATTAATGATTAAGTAACCAAATGTAAAATCTACAAAGTTAAAAGTTCTTATAATTATTATGTTTGATTGCAAGTTCTTAATAAAACAATATCTCGTATCTGTTGTCTGTTCTATCATTTTAAAGTGTTTTTTTTAAATGAGGTAATGCAATATTAACGTGTCTTTAATTTAAAAGCAGGGATAACTAACGTTTGTTGAATTCATTTCTAGTTCTTACATACAAAGAGTATGAATAAGTGTTACAGAATCAATGGTGTCTAAGACTATTCCAATAAAGATAATATCATAATGTAGTCAACCACAGACAAGACGTTGGCATTTAGCCTATGGTCATGTAATGTAAGGCATAGACAAGCTTGTGCGCTTTTGCCTTTTCGTAAAGTCTGCCATGTTTTGTCCTACTTGTCGCGCTTGGTCAACGCGTTCGCGTTTTCGGTTCCAAAACCAATAATTTACTGAATGTAACACGGGCTGTGCTTTGTTTACAAATAGTGTAGTCGATGACGCTGTAATTGCATTTGTGTAGTTGTAATTTATCGATCACTTTTGATACTTGTGTGTTTAATGGTGTAGTTCAGTATTTCATAAAATTTTGAAATCCTTCCCTGGCTCCGTTAACGTGAAAGCAAAGCGGGGAGAATAAAGTCTATTCGCTTCGTTCGAATTGTTTTTATACGCCGCGATTTATTAAAACTCAGTGACGCAACCCACGTGCACATAATACAGCAAGCATCTCATGCATATTTGTTATTATTTTGTTCGCGGCCCGAGAGTTCGATTCGAGTCCGTCTGATTCGGATCGAAGAAGGCAAATCGCGTCGTCCGTCTTGCTCGCTCCCGTCGCATTCCGTAACGTTGCGTTGATTTATTTTCATAATTTGAAATAGAGGAGTGATTATTCGCGTGTGCATTATTGTTTTGGTGCGTAAGAAATAGAGGATAGTCGTGGTGGTATCGCAGCCGTGGAGCGCACGTGACGCCAGTGTTTGGGTGTCAGTCTGGTAGGTTTGGCGCGCGGCGGACGCACGCTACAGTCCGCCTCAAGCCTGCAGTGCGGTGCGGCGTAGAGGTGAATCACCGCGCGGTGTGTTGGTCGTGCTTATTTACCCGCGAGTGCATACTGCATTGTTGAGTGAGGAAACGGAAGTGCGAAGGCATGTGTAGCGCGATTTGGCGCCGATGACAACGCCGTGTCAGGCGACGGCGTTTGGCCAGTGATCGTGTGTTAGCTATGTTTCTTGGGTTATGAGTGTGTGACAAAGTTCTGTGTACTGAGGACCCTGGAGCCCCTAGACGGAGTTGGGCCCGCCGGGGCGGCCCTGGTGCTTCTCGGGGCTCCGCACGAAGGCAAAATGGCTGCGTGGAATCGCCACCACCATTTCAACATGCTCATGGATGAAAATGCCAAAAACAAATGTAAGTTTTTTTTCTGTACTCTTGGGGGTCAGCAGGTGCTAAGCTGTTCATTATAAGATTGGTTCCAATGTACTTTTAGTAGTAGATAATATGAAATAATGATTGTAATATGTCTAACCGGAACTAAATAATACTTGATTAGTATTAAGACACTGGGTTCATTTTTATTTTATTTTATATACCTAATACATTTTGTGTTATCGAAAAGAATAAATACATTCCATGTTCACATAAAACAGCTTAGTAACTTTTTGTTGATGTTTTAAGATTTTTCATTTCATATACATTGCTCCTCCAAACAATATATTACCTATTGTTTCATTTATCACTAGAAGGTTTCACTACTTTCCTTTAAGGTCAGAATTATGTAACATTTGTTATTATTTCTCCAACAAACTTATTGCTGTAGTCTACAATTTTTAAACATTTGCTAAATCATTAATTTTTGAATTGAGCATATTACACAATAGTAACCTGAATTTATGTTGAAATTTTAAATACCTACTTTAATTATTTTTAGAACATTACTTTAGAATAATTTAGACTTCTTAGAAAAGCCTTAAGAGTCCAGTAACTTGGTTACATTCTTTAAACAGGGTTGATATTATCCTAGTTTGACAGCTACAGTAATAACAGACCAACAAAGTTTCGGTAAACTCAAAATATAGGTATCCAATAAACATGTAGTTTATATTATGTACTACTATATACATTGAGGTATATCAGACTTAGTGAACATATTCAAGTTGCAGTGATGCCTTTGATGTTCTTCATTAAGCCGGTAACAATCTAAGGTTGTGCATCAAGTTTCACAGATTCAATGGCCACAATACAATTTTCCATTCTATCACCTCTTATGAACACAAGTGCAGGTGAATCTTTGAGTGTGTGTACATTGTTGAATGCACATATCCCTCTTACCTGTAGATATCAGTGTCCCACATCCCTTTGACCTGATTTCCACTGGCATTTGCGGAGGGTCGACTTGTAAACCATATTACTTGGTTCTTTCATATGCCTCGTATTTTCTCTGAAAGTTACGTGGAGGCATCAGAGCGCGGCGCCCTTTGATCGCATTTAATTTGCTGACTCGACGCGACGTTTTTTCACAGCCACGTATTCCACGCTTGGGACGTTTGTGTGGGTGGCAAAACAATGTTATTATTTGTGCACTCAGGAAGCGTCCGAGGTGTTTTCGGGTCATTTTCGCGGATCTATCGAGCATAATACGGCGTTGACCCCAAAATTGTTTAACGCGTCCACCCCATACTTAAACCTAATTCCCTTGAATGCCTGCATTGAGGCTTTTATTAGATAACAAGATTTTTACGCCTCTATCGGCTAGGGGGAGAACGTGACAGTATTCAATTGGTACACAATTATCCTTATCACAGTAACAATAGATCAGTATTAGGGTTATTGCTTCATTTCACTTTATTTATTGACGATACGGGCCGAGGGAGGCGCAGCGCCGTATCCTCTGTAAATCTCGAAGTGACTTTTGTCTCAACGCATTATTTTCGCAGTATTAACTCGAGACGCTATAATCTTCTTAACGGGAACTCTTTTCTCGGAAGCGCCTACTTTGTTTTATTTGGCAACAATATTTGAAGTATTTTCATGTAAACAATTGTAATAATGCATATTTGTTATACGGTTACGTTTTCGTTCAGCAATCAAATCATTCTATCTAATGTAATAAATCTATCGATATTTATGTCGTTAGCCCGTGCTCGATATATATCGATGCAGCCTAATCAGCACCGGTATCAGTTACAATAGGAATTTAATGTTTGCCCGAATTTCATTGAGCGCAGCATTTAGGTTTTTCGCACCCACGCGCTTGGCACTTCATTTGAGATGGTAACACCGCTCTGAACTAAATAAAACAAAGATGTACCGCTCCCGATACCCAGTTTCTTTGAAACGGGATGACTAACATCGTATTAACCTAATACATTCTTCCCTTATATTGGGATCGCGATATATTGTAACATTTCACTTTAATAAAAAAAATATTACGAAGTAATAATTTCTTAATTTTAAGTTGAGGGTATTCGGAAATTATAATGGCTGAATTTCTCATTCTGTACTTTTTTTATTTATCGTAATTTATCTAATTTCGTTCATTTATTTCGACGATCTGTCAATATGACTGATTGTTTTCATTTACATTCATATAAGTAATATAAAATTAAATTTTGAAAAAATTCATGACTGCCTCATAAACATCGAAGGTACGTTTATCTTTTAATTGGAGTTCCAAGAAGCCACGGCGCAACTCTAGAATGGGACGGGGC